CTTGTAATCCTCATGAGATGAGGCACCTCTTTCTTCTGGGCTGGCACTGCCAAAACCTCACCAACCTACCCACCAAGGGGGTCCTGCAGAACAAGGACAAGGGCAACGGCAAGGACAAGCGCCTCTAAGTCTTTTCCTGGATTATGATCAAGCATCCTCTAGATGACTTTCAGGAGTCATCCACCCGGCCCCTGTCTTTTACATCTCTATGGATGAGCCTCAGGTAAATCTGACTGTGGCTGAACAAGAGATAATGCTCCTCATAGATACAGGGGCCAGTTATTTAGCTTCAAAAGTTTTTTACTGCCCAATATGCCAATTCTCCATTTTCCTCATGGGTATTGATGGAAAACCCCAATGAGGCTATTTCACACTGCCACTCCTTGTAACATTGCATTATTTATTATTTATTCCTTTACCCACCCACTTCTTTTTAGTCCTGCCAGCCCATCCTGTTTCATTATTAGATTGTGGCTTACAAAGTTACAAGCAATTTACAGCTAAGACCTCATCTTCCAGCAGCTGTATTAACTCACGCTTCATCAAAAGAGCCACTGCAGTCTATGGAACCTCACGTTCTAAAACAAGTGCCATTGGAGGTTTGGAATATTTTTATTCTTGGTCATTCAGTATCAGCTGCTCCCATTATCATTCAGCTTAAAAATCCCAATAAGTTCCCCAGAACCCCCAATGCCCCTTGAAACTAGAAGCACATAAAGGGTTACAGCCCCTAGTAACAAAATTTTAAACCCATGGTTATTGTGTCCGTGCAAATTGCCTTGCTACACTCCCACTTTAGCTGTAAAGAAACCAGATGTCCTCTCTCCAGTCTGTGCCTCCAAGAGGACAAAGAAAAAGCATAACAGTCTTGCCAAAAAGGGCCGCACAAACTGTCCCCGGTGTGTGCCCAAGGACAAGGCCATTAAGAAATTTGTCATCAGAAACATCATAGAGGCCTCTGCAGTCAGGGACATTTCTGAAGCGAGCATCTTCAATGCCTATGTGCTTTCCAAGCTGTATGTGAAGCTACATGACTGTGTGAGTTGTGCAATTCACAGCAAAGTAGTCAGGAATTGATCTCGTGAAACCCACAAGGAACAAACATCCCCACCCTGATTTAGACCTGCGGGTACTGCCCCAAGACCGCCACCAAAGCCCATGTAAGGAACCAAGTCCTTAAAGAGTGAAGGCAAATTATTTTCTGGAGAAAAATAAAATGACCATTGTACTTTTAAAAAAAAAAAAAAAAAAACAGATGGCTCCTACTGACTACTCCAGGACCTTAGAATTATTAATGAAGCTGTTATTCCTATTCATCCTATTGTCTCAAATTCTTACACTCTTTTCGGACAAATTCTCTCCACCACAGCTTGGTTTATTGTACTTGATATTAAAGGTACCTTTTTCTGCTTTCCTGTACACCCAGATTGTTTGCTTTTGAATAGCAAGGCTCAGGTAATAAACTGGCTCAACATTTAACTGAGACAATTCTGTCCCAGGGATTCAGAGATAGCCCCCACCATTTTGGACAGGCCCTAGCTAAAATCCTGTCTACCCTGCAGCTTCTCCCAGATAGCAATCTGCTTTAGTATGTGGATGGCCTACTAATCTGCAGTCCTAACAAGGCTGTTTTAGACCAAAATGCAATATTAGTACTAAACAAACTTTCTGACTGTGGGTACAAAATATCTCCTTCTAAGGTACAAATATTCATACAAAACATTCAATTTTGGGGTCTTATTTTAACCTTCAGTACAAAGAGCCTCTCTAGCACTTGTAAAAATCTTATCTTAAATGTGACAACTCCAGGAACTAAATAACAGCTTCAGTCCTTTTGGGATATGGTGAGATTTTACAGAATGAGGATTCCTTCCTTTGGAATTATAGCAAAACCATTATATGAAGCCCTCAAGGGAACTGAGGAGTAACCCCTATCCTAGACTAATGATATGAAGCATGCTCTAAACACTTAGAAACAGGCTGTAATCTTAGCCTCAGCCTTAGCCCTACCAGATCTGACTAGGCCTTTCCTTTTGTATGTACATGAATGAAGTGGAATAGTTTGGGGAGTGTTAGCCCAAGATCTAGGGCCCTCTAAATGCCCTACAGCATATTGTTTAAAAAGTTTAGACCTAGTATTCCAGGAAGGTCACTCCCCCTCACCCCAGCCTAAGACCCTTAGCAACAGTGGCCCTCTTAGTCCAAGAAGCCTCAAAAATATATTACCTGACCCCCCTGGGCTATTATGGCTTTGTCGCACTGCTAATAATTTTTTAAACCCTTTTCAAACTTCAACCCTATCCCATCTTAATAATTCTCTTCATTATGGTGATTGTACTCTGGGAACAATAGCTCATACCCAAATCACTGTCTTGAGTATAACTTCCAATTCAGAATTCCATTCTAGAGAAAAAAGGCCCTAGGACTTACTGTGGCCAGAATTACAGGAACTATTGCAACTTTCACCCATTTACTTACATGAAATCTCACTACGGGAACTTACCACTTCCCCTGAAATAGGCTTGGCAAAAACTGGCACCAGTCTATCAGCACTAGAAAGCCTTCACCAGTGAGTACCAGCAGAAATGAGTTTAATAATAGAAAAGCTCTAGATTACCTCCAGCTGAACAAGAAGGAGTCGGTGCTGTCATCAAAAAAACCTGTTACGGCC